TGAGGCTATCGACATGTGGTAAAGATAAAGAAAGCATAAACATTACAATGTTCGAGAGCCAAGACTAAAAATGGAGCCACGTCAAAACAGATTTTAGGAGAGCTACGTCATAATGAAAAATTACTGAATTTCAAAGAAAACATATTCTCCAAATTACAGATTTGAAAACTTTTTCTCTGCTTTTTTTTCTAACAGATCCCAAAGATCCTGTTTTACTTTATTTTAATGTTGTGTCTGTATGGTTGAGCGGTATACATGCCAGATAAGCAAGAATGGGAGACACATTTAGCTCAATGGATGAAAAGAATTGTCTTTTTTTGGTGAATCGGTACTTTGGTTGAATATGACTTGTCATAACTTTTGCATTAATCTTACAGTCTTTATTATAATGTTATAATAACTTCCATCCATTAGATAATTAGCAGAAAATGATGACACTTGCTTATCTCAATCTAAAAATCCACAGAAGTGTTAAACAGAAATACACAGAATAAATGAAAAAGATTTACAGACAGTGTATTTATTATAAATGTGTGTTCAGCTAGACCAGAGGTGGACGCATGTAATTGTGGATACACCAGTTTAACAAAGTGACGGCCACAGGTTACATCACTGATAAGGTATATGTCCCAAGACATTTTCCCTATAAATCAATGAATTTCAAAATATATGCTATGTGGCTGTTGGCTTTTAATGAAAGGGGAAAGCCTTAATTCTAAAGCCATTTCCTTACTGAAGGGAGGTGGGGGCCTCTTCCTATTATTCATTACATTGAATTTTAATTCATCCTTGTTATTATTTGTGTGTGCTGGTTATTCCTTTGTGTTCACAATATCCTCTCCACCGCAGTTTTCTACAGCATCCAATTAGCAGCACTTAACAGCTGTTAAATGGCATAATTGTCTGTTGTTACTTATCTTCATGTAGCATCAACCGAGATTTTAATTGAATGCAATTTACTGCTCAGAAGTCCATCAGCTCTGTACAAAAACTCAAAGAAAAGGAACTAAAGATTATCCATCATCTCAATACCTATTTTTTTCTTTCTTTCTTTCGTTTTTTTTTTTGTATTGTGTTTTTCTTTTGCCGAGCAAGAAAAGTTGTTCAATAATATTGGCCTTTACATTTCGCAAGAGATAGTTAGAAAGCTGGGAGTTAAAAGAATGTATTTGCACATGAAAGTTGGAAGGGTTTATTTTCTAACTTTGTGCCGGTGCAAACTTACAGTGGAACTACCGGGATTTGCTTAACGTTTATGAAAGTTGAAAAGTATTGTCCTTGTGTTTTTGAAAGCTTACTGTCAGATACAGTTATCTTTTTCTGCTGTTAGAATTGAGGAGAAACCTAAGATGGGAGTAACTGGGTGACTTGATATAAAAAAAAAAAAATGCCATATTAGTATCCCAAGAAACTGAGATTTATTATTTTTAAATGTATTTTTTTTATTATTTGTATGAAGAAGGCATAACCTGAGCATAGATGGGAGAATATTTAGGGGAATTCTAGGTAAATACTTTTTTATTTTACAGAAAGTATTGTATCGTATTTTACTGTGCCCAACAAACCCATGGGTGAACCCAGGTTAATGCATGTCACTGTTTTAATGTGCGGCACTATTTATAATAGGTTTATTATTAATATATGACTGGGCCATGAACTTCCAGGGGAACTGCAATTAGCTGCAGAAGGGGTAGCCAGAATAAGCATGTTTCATGGTCTGTGAATGCATTATGCACATACAGTAATACTGCAGTCAACATGAAGATGCTTTTCATTTGATGTGCATGTGAAAGAGTGACAGTGTGGTATTAGCAATGTGGATATGAAACTCATGTGCAAAGAATTAGAAAGCAGGAGCCCATTATATAGTCAATCAATGTACTGACATTACATTTCACATATTATTATTAGAATTTATACAGCACCAATATATTCCGCAGCACATTACAGTGATGATACTAAGATATGTAACGGGGTTGATGTTCCAGGAGGGATAAGCCAAATGGCAAATGATTTAGGTAAACTAGAAAAATGGTCAGAGTTGTGGCAACTGACTTTTAACGTGGATAAGTGCAAGATAATGCATCTTGGACGTAAAAACCCAAGGGCAGAGTACAGAATATTTGATAGAGTCCTAACCTCAACATATGAGGAAAGGGATTTAGGGGTAATTATTTCAGATGACTTAAAGGTAAGTCATCTGAAATATATTGTAATAGAGCAGCAGGAAATGCTAGCAGAATGCTTGGTTGCATAGGAAGAGGTATTAGCAGTAGAAAGAGGGAAGTGCTCTTCAAATGCCATTGTACAGAACACTGGTGAGACCTCACTTGGAGTATTGTACGCAGTACTGGAGACCGTATCTTCAGAAGGATATTGATACCTTAGAGAAGGTTCAGAGAAGGGCCACTAAACTGGTTCATGGATTGCGGGATAAAACTTACCAGGAAAGGTTAAAGGATCTTAACATGTATAGCTTGGAGGAAAGACTAGACAGGGGGGATATGATAGAAACATTTAAATATATAAAGGGAATCAACACAGTAAAGGAGGAGACTATATTTAAAAGAAGAAAAACTACCACAACAAGAGGACATAGTCTTAAATTAGAGGGACAGAGGTTTAAAAATAATATCAGGAAGTATTACTTTACTGAGAGGGTAGTGGATGCATGGAATAGCCTTCCAGCTGAAGTGGTAGAGGTTAACACAGTGAGGGAGTTCAAGCATGCGTGGGATCGGCATAAGGCTATCCTAACTATAAGATAAGGCTAGTGACTAATGAAAGTATTTAGAAAATTGGGTAGACTAGATGGGCCGAATGGTTCTTATCTGCCGTCACATTCTATGTTTCTATGTTAAGGGGATCTTCAAGGGTAAAGAAGGCTCTGTTCAAAAGAGCCTACAATCTATAAGAATTTGAGGAAGGTGTACATATATCATTTGGTGTTGGACTCAGGGAGTCTTACTAGTAAGGTGGGCAGACCAGGATTCGAACCTGCGTGACAAGCGGGGATTCTCCCCACTATAATAATTAGAATTATGCAAAATATGAAATATTGCACAGGAAGGATTTAACACATGAGCAAAAAACATTTTCTCTTTTACCCCCCAAGCAGAATGTGTTCCACTTCATCTGGTAGAGAATCAGTGCAGTACATATAAAATGATTCTCCAGTATATCTCCATAGGGGGGGATTTTCTAGGCTCTCTCTACCTGCCCTCTCAAGGCTTACATTATGTTACAGAACTAAATTATATTTTAGGCACAGAGATGTTTTGTCAGAGAATCAGTAGCCAGTAGACATTGTGAATAAAACCCATTGCACAATTCAACAAGCATTATTGCAGCATGACAAGGCTTCAAAACTAACCTCTTCCAGTGCCAAAGCCGAAATAGTAAGGTGACTTTAATAATCTCTAAAAATAAATGAATCTCAATGAATTATACTGATGCAACCAAAGTGGCTTCTAACCATCACATTTACCAAAATGAGTAAATGGAAGGTAAAAAAAAAACCATCAATGATTACAGTTGCGCATTGTAAAATTGAATATTATGAATTTAACAATTAATTTTTCTCAAAGTCAAAAGTCATTTCTGCAGATCACCCTCAATTGTAAACAAGACAACATCTCCCACAGACTATTGTAATCATCATCATTGTCATCATCTCAGTATTGCATACAGAATATCATAATTATTATTATCATTACAATAATATTCCAAGAATGCTTTTATCAACATCTTTATGAGAACTGTATCTCTAAAATATTAAAATCATCAGTACTAGAACATCATCTCCAGTCTATTATCTTGGTTAACACTAGAATATTGTCCCTAGAATATCATAGTCGTTAATGCTAGAACCCCTTCTCCTCCCCACCCCCCCAGATATTATAATCATCATGAATGGTACCACTAGATAATTGCTCCTACAATATCATCATAATCTCCTTATGGTGATCAGGAAAATCTCTCCAGAATATTGGAAACCTTCACTTACTATTGTCCTCAGAGGTGCATATTTGCTATCACCAGTGAAATATTCACTAACAGAATATCATTATCACCATCATTAGAGTGTTACATCTAGAATTTCATTACCACCATCATTGGAGTGTTGTATCTAGAATATCATCATGACCATCATTAGAGTGTTATATCTAGAATTGCAGTATCACCATCATTCGAGTGTTATACCTAGAATATCATTATAAGCATCATTAGAGTGTTATATCTAGAATACCATTATCACCATCATTAGAGTGTTATATCTAGAATTGCAGTATCACCATCATTCGAGTGTTATACCTAGAATACCATTATAAGCATCATTAGAGTGTTATATCTAGAATTGCAGTATCACCATTATTAGAGTGTTATATCTAGAATATCATTATCACCATCATTAGAGTACTGTACTGAGAATATCTTTTTTTCCCCTTTATTCTCCCTTTTATTGAGGCATGCAAATGAGCTTTACAGAATAAAGAAGTAATGGTTATCACAAACAAGTATTTCAAAGGACCCTGGCTGATATGTTGCACATTACTTGGGAATGGCTGCCTCTTTGTTTTAATAAAGGAAATCATAAATGTATAAGAAAATAGAAAATGCTGTAGGCAATCTAGGGGGCTTAGAATCTGGTAAACTATCTGTTTGGTTGCGATCCCTCACCAGTGCTCTGGTCTTGGTACACCATTACAAGGTTTGGCGTGAGGGACAGTGTACCCATGGGTGTAGGCATCCCCTGTCCCCGTATTCCCTCATGCAAGCGTGGTGGAGGTCATGGTGGCCAATTGAGGTAAATACTGGGTAGGATAATAAGTGGAAAATCTTAAGAAGTATGCAGTTGAGTAAATTCTGCTCAATGACCCCTGAGCGCTGTGGGAGAGGGGGAGGGCACTTTAGACTGGAATAAACAGGAGCCAGATGTGAGCTTAGTCCATTATGACTTTTGCCACGCGTTCTTCCCGTCCGCCTCAGCCGGTATCGGCTCATGGTATGAATGGCACAATCTTGGCGACATCCCAGATCCCTTTCTGCCCTTCATAGCTACTTGCTGGCTGGGGAAGTCCCAATCTCTGCAGGAAAGCTGCTGCTTCATCCACCGATAATAGTTTGCAGGTGCGGCCGTCTTTGGTAGCGGTTAAGGTACAGGAGGGACCCCACTTGGCGACATCCCACTTGGCGACAATCTTGGTGACATCCCAGATCCCTTTCTGCCCTTCATTGCTGCTTGCTGGCTGGGGAAGTCCCAATCTCTGCAGGAAAGCTGCTGCTTCATCCGCAGATAATAGTTGGCAGGTGCGGCCGTCTTTGGTAGCGGTAATTCCCAATGTTCTCAAAGTCTGTGTCACCCGTTGAAGTGACCTTCTCCAATTTGGTGCAGAACGACAGAGGTCCTGCAGAAAGTGGAGCTGCACGGCTTTGAATTGATATGGCGTGTGGTTCTTTACCGCCTCCAGGATTGCCATCTTATCTCTGAGCATAAAGAAGTGCACCAGCATGTCCCGTGAGATCCCAGCCGGTACACTTGGAGGGTTTGGCTAGTCAGAAGCATCCATCTAGTTGAATTCCTTTAGCCGAGCGTTGGGGCATTAAAGAGGCCAGGAGGCATCGCAGGTAGTGCAGCAGTTCTTGTTCGTCAATTGACTCGGCAATAACCCCTAATTGTGAGGTTTGTGCGACACCGCACATCTTCCATAGTGTCCAGTTTTATTAGCACTGCGTTTTGGGTAGTTGAGATATCTGCTCCATATTGCCCTTTTGATGGCAGAGACCTTCTCTGCAGTCCATTTGGCATTAGTGGTGACCTCATTGAGGACTTCCTGGATGATATCCAAGCTGACATTGAAGAATGCTTGTATGTTCAGCATCAGGGCCTTAATATCGCCCTTGGTGGCCGGGGCCACTAAGTCTTTCACCATGTAGTGCGGCGGGCCCTATACCTGTGGAATTTCATCTGGAGCATCGAGGATTTCATCCTCGGAGAAGGTAGATGGTGAAGAATGCTCATATGTTCAACATCAGGGCCTTAATGTCGCCCTTGGTGGCCAGGACCGCTAAGTCTTCCACCTGTAGTGTGGCGGGCAGGCCCTCTGCCTGTGGGATTTCATCTGGAGCATCAAGGATTTCTTCCTTAGAGAAGGTAGATGGTGAGTCCAGCGGCGCCGCCATCTTGGAACTAGGCAGCGATTGCAGGAGATAGCTGATTCTCCACGAGCTGTCACCCGCGAGGGTCTTGAGCTTTTTAGCCTTTACCCCCATGTCATGGCAAGTAGATGGCTACCAAAATTGAGGTAATTATTAGAATCATTAGAATATTGTATCCAGAATATCATAATCACTGTAATTAGAATGCTGTACTCAGCTTATAATAATCACTGTCATGACAATACCATACCCAGAACATTATCATCATCATCATTAGAATGGATTACCCAGATCATTATCATCATTATTAGAATGCTCTACCCAGAATGATAGTGATAGTTACCGCCATAAGAATGTTGTATCCAGAATATCATAAACCATCATTCGCTCCGTCGGCACACAACACAAATATTACCGGGAATGCTGTCCAAGAATATCATAATCTCCATCATAAGCATTCTGTACCAAGGAAATTCCATTCACCATCAGAGTAGGCTGCACCCAGAATATCAATATCACCATCATTAGAATATAAAACCCAGAATATTGCAATCACTGTCATTATAGTGCTATACCCATAATGTCATAATCACCTTAATTAGAATTTTGTACCCAAAGTACCATAGTCACTGTAATCAAAATGCTGTACGTAGAATATCATAATCACTGTCATTTAAATGCTATTCTCAGAATATCATAATCATATTTTTTGACAAAGCATTGTCCCATGAATAATATAATTTTCACTAAAATATTGTTTGGAGAGTATCAAAATGTATACTGCATGTATAAATTGAGCAAGTTCTGCTTCTATACACTCGTAATGTACACAACTCTACTAATCGCTGTCACCCTGGTAACCGTTACTTGGTACCTGCGCAGTAAGAATTGAGTCAGACTCTGTTTTTGACAATCGGTGTCCTCACATAGAAACATTTGATTGACATATTGTGGTGATTGCTGCGCGTGTGCAATGAGTATACAATTAGAAGAATTTGATTGGACAAAATGGTCATCAAGTCTGATGACCTCAGTGGAGGTGGACCGGGCTGCTGTGTTGGCGTTGGATTACTTGTTAGTAATGGGTTACAATTCTAATTATTTTGTTTTTTTAGTGAAAGGTGGAGCCACTGATCTACTGGCATCGTGTTCCTTTAAATGTACTCGTGATTACAAAGTATTTGTGAAAAAAACCATTGAGAGATGTTTACTGGATTGAATCCTCCACAATAGAGATACGTCTTCTAGATGAATCAAACCATTCAATTATTAGCTAGGTTATAAACCTATTTTATGAGAGCGTCAGATATATTTATTGTACAGAGCCAAATGCCCTGCATTGTTCAACATCTCACAACCTGATTGATTAACGAGAACCTATAGGATTTGACATCAGATTTCTGAGAAAGACTGAAGACGTGTCAATAATTACAGATGTCAGCAACTGTGGGAATTTCTGCTCAAATAATGAGCTGCAAATCCTGATAAGGAGCAGAGCTCAGGGAATATTCATCTATAAATATAGCAAAACACTTGGCTTTGAGTACTTGCTAGTTGCTTCCATTTTCACATCATTGTGTTAAAGATGCCGCAGTATGATAGATACAACAGAATAAAATTGACATGTTCAATACATGTGCGGAAAATAATTCATTCACATTGAAGTTTACTTACTGAAAATAGAGTTGGGTTAAATTGACAACCAGCTTAATGAACGGCTACGGACGGCCTTTCTGACAGCCACTAGAGGCGCTTCCTCTGCACTGACTGAGGAAAACATGGTCACATGACGATGCAGCTTATGGAAATGCACGAAAATCAATACTTTCCTAGGAGAAGTATTTGGATGTTCGTATGGTGCTCGCGGCACTTGCAAATCAGTCTCCAATGGTCGTCTGTGAGGAACATTAGATTGGACCATCTGTGCGAGAAACAGATCAAGTCACAAGAGTCGAAATTAGTGGCAGCAAAAAAAAGGAAAGAATATTACTGAAAAGAGGGGGTGGACCAACGGAAAATCCGCAGGACACTATAGCATGATGTATTCCTAACTGTATAATGTTTCTTTTAAAAAATCAACTAACGGCTGAACTGGACAAAAACGATATGAGATTTTGAAAAAAGAAGAAAATAAATATTTTTCATTTAAACTGTCATGAAAATGAAACAACTGCCAAAGTGAAATTATTTTCAATCTGATTGTTCTATTTAAACAATCAGCCCCCCTCTAACCCCCCCCCCCCTTTGTTTTCTTCAATAAATCATTACAAAAACTATTAGCCTTACCTTTGTTCTGGGACCGGGACAGACTGCTCGCTGCGGCCGGATCTTCCACCAGTGAAGCCATCAATGTTTGTGACTCAGAGAGAAGTACTGAGAGACAAGCAAGCTTATTAACTAAAGTCTAAATTCAAAGTTAGTTCAAAGTGATTTTTACATTTCAAAGACCAGAGGAGCTGAACTGAAGCATGGCTTACTTGAAATTCTTCCAGTTTGGCTTGAATTTGAAATTCACTTTAAATTCTCTTTGAATTTCCAATTTAGTAAATATCCCTAAAAATATACAGGAATGTTTCAGAGAAACAGACCATCCATTTGCCGCACATTGTGTCCAGCATTAGAATACTTTGCATGCTGACTTCCAGATTTTAAATAGATCGAATAATGGAATCCAAGTTAGTACATAAACCCCCGTGGCTCTCTTTCTCACCAACAGTGGTCAGCGAGGAAACTGAGCAATTTCATAGGGGCAGAGTCTAGGCCCCAATATTACTTTATTAAAGGGTTACTCTAACGCATTGTATAACGTTGTTTTAATAAGTTTACAATGCCCTACTTGGTATTAATCACTAGCTTCCTCCCCTTACAGTCTGGCAAATAAAGTATAAAATTACCTGGAATCCAACTCCAAAGATCTCCATACTGGTTTCCATTCTGCCACCAATGTCATTCGTGGTCCAGTCCTATGGGCTCAGATCTCGGACCTGAGCCTGGTAGTGCAGTGAAGCAGGGAGTAGGTAGAGAATTTTAAAAAATTGATGCAGGGAGGTGGAGAGGGAGCGCATGAAGGGAGGTAATATTAAGACTTCTCCTTGCAGACAGTGCTGCAAGGCAGAAGATCATTATGTTTATTGCCAGCGCACTGTGCGTGCTGACCACGGATGCAATTTTTGCACAGAATTCACTAGCCCCTGGCACCAAACTGCAAATTTAAGCAGAAGTGGTGATGGTCGTTCGAGTAACCCATTAAGATGAAATGATTTTGGTGTTTAGAGTATATAACAGCGTTAAAATGATAACAAAATATGCACAATATTACTATAATTCAATAAGATATCAGGGTATCAGTGCAGTGCCACATTTAAGGTTACATGAATGTACTCTCTCAAATTATAAAAATGGTATTCAGATATACTATATGGGTATATCATTTCAGACCCTTTTTACAAAGCCATTAAACTTGTATTTTGGTGGATTCCACCCCAACATGATACATGTTATCTAGAAGTAGAATTAGAGTAAATTTCGATAAAATGGATTTAGTTCCCATCAGAGCTGAGTTACCTTGGCGTAATGTTGAACTAAGCATACTATAGCCATGCTGACCCCCAATATTTTAATCTAAGTGAGGTGTATTTATAAAGCTTTAGAAGATTATAGCTCTTTCATCCAACTATGAATTCCTCGTTCATCTATTTATTTATCTATTAACATCTATTTAATATTACTGCAGGACAGATCTACATCCCAGTGTAGCTAGGTAGAATGAGCTCAGAAGAATCACCTGGTATTCAACCCACACTAAAATATTCATTTTTCCTGTCTTCTTTGCATGTTCATAACGTCTGAATTTCATTTTAGCATTCAACCCTAAAACCATCTATAGGCTTCTGGCTTTATTATGGAAGCAGATTGGTTCTCTAACCTGAATGATTGGATTTCACATTATACATCCTCTCTTACACTGATACATTATATTAGATATTATTCATCAGCTGCAGCACAATGTAGAATCAGAAAATGTTACCTCGGGTGAAGATTTCCATGTGTTTTTTTTTTCAATACCTATTTATGCCAATTATTCTTTTATCACAGTTATTATGATTCTACATGCTACCTTTTTTATTCTCACAGCCCTTATTATGTACTCTGTACTGTTTCTGTATGATGTTATTTACACTGACATACATTCATGAAACTACATAGTTTAATGTTTTAAATGGAATTCGACAAGCAGACCTAAATGATAAGACTGAGATAACCTATTTTAAATACAGCCATTTAAAAAAAAAGTGCAATTCACCCAAGATTGCAAATCTGTTTATTTGGTCTAAATTTATTTTGATTTTAAACTCATTCCAACTCATTGTCTGCTGACTAAAATCTCAGATTTTTGTTTATTAAGTTGAATTTTTCCTGATTTAACAGACACAAGAATAATCTTTTCTGAATCATCCACCTGATTGTTTCCTTAAAGTAGGAATAGTACATTAAGGTCAAAGAGCATTTATTCATTCTATAGTAGCTATTTTTCCAAGAATGATATTGTAAGATTTCTCTCGTTTTAAGTACTTCTTGTAACAACTGTAACAATGCTAAACAATTCAGTACAAGGCTATATATATATATATTTATTTATTTTTTAACTTTATATTTATTCATAATGTTTAGCATCCTCATAGCCGGTAACTAATTTATTACACATTTGTGTCCTTATTATATATTTGTTTTTGAGCAGAACTAATTTCAGGAAACAGTTGTAAAATACTGTTGTGAACAGTGATACATTGAGTCTTGTATGTTATGTAAGAATGAAGACAATGTAAGACTCATTTGCAACCTTGTTGGTAAGTATTTGCCTTAAGCTGTTGCTATTAAAAGGACTCTCCGGACCACTAAAGCATTCCAATTGCTGAAATGCTTTGTGTGAAGTGTCCGCTCTTTTTTTTCATTTTTCAAAATGTGTAGATTTCAACAGAAATTGGCTATTTTGTAAATGAACCTGGTTACACCCCCTCTGCCCC